TGTCCTGATACAAAGTAAATATGATGAAACAGAAGTTAAAGATTCAGACAAAATGATATAATAAAAAAGATAAGAATAAAACAGAACGAAAGATTAAGGAATTTGAAGTAATTGAGCAGTGTTGACTGAGAGGACATTGAGAAGACAATGTGTAATGGTGTAATGAGCACTTGACAATGAAGAACATGAAGAAATGTATTGGTGTTTTGGCAGACACTGTCCACTTAGAAAATGACTGAGTCAGGGCAAAGTCAGGGGACTGACGTTCAAGCTGCCTTTTTTTTTTTTTTAGGTTTTTCGAGACAGGGTTTCTCTGTGCAGCTTTGCGCCTTTCCTGGATCTCGCTCTCTAGACCAGGCTGGCCTCGAACTCACAAAGATCCGCCTGCCTCTGCCTCCCAAGTGCTGGGATTAAAGGCGTGCGCCACCACCGCCCGGCTCAAGCTGCCTTTTAACATCTCTCACTACACTTACAACTGGCTACCAAATTGTCCACTACCTTTGCTTTCCTTTAGCCAAATAGGAGCTCCCCCTCAATGCAGGACTGGTAACTCACCAGAAATTTTGTCATGGGCTTATCAACGACTTGATGAGATTCATCATCAAAAGGACAATTCTTTCCAACAGTCAGATTAGCTATGTTCACAAATGGCTTTTCTAGGACTGGTTCTTGCTGATGGGCTTCCCTGTGGTTTATCTGCAAGCTGTCTCTTTTCAATATCAATGGTTTCACATATAGGATAGGAATGAATCTCACATGTTTAAGTCTCCATTGGAAATTAGAACATCTTAGGAACAGGACCATCAGGGCAGAGTGTGTCTTGGCTGCTGTACACCTCCACTCCCATGTTTAAGAATTATTCTGTTGTTTGGCTCGAACTATTTGGAGGGCACCCAGGCAGGGGCATCAGGATCTGTCCCTGGTGCATGGGCAGGCTTCTGAGAATCCAGTGCCTGTTGTGTGACACCTTGCACAGCCTTGGTGCAGTGGGCGGTGCTTGGACCTGCCTAGGCTCAGTGTGCTGGGTTCTGCTGACTCTCCATGGGAGACCTTGATTTGGGGGATGTAGGGATGCAGGGTAGCTTGGGAGAGAGGGCTGGGGTGGAAGGAGGGAGGAGGGGGGATCTGTGGGTGGTATGCGGAGTGTGTAGAAAATTTCTTAATAAAGAAAAATGAAAAAAAAAAGAATTATTCTGTTTATTTCCAAGTGTAGTCTCATTATTGGTGTTGGGAAGAATTTGTGAACCTGCAGTTAGAATTACTGGCTGGAACTGTGCTGTTCAAACTTTGTCAAGTATCTGAAGAAGCCCGGGTACTAGAAATGACAGCATTCTTCCCAAGGACACAGGCTTCAGGGTTCCGTACCCTTATGTGTTTGCCAGGGTCCTCTCGCTCCTGACAGTGGATGATGAAATGACTAGTAGGATGTGTAGAGGAAGCCTGGCAGGGTGAATGCTCCAAGCTGACAGGCCAGACTGTCCCCAGGCCTAACTCTGAGGGCTGTATTCTTGTGTCCTTCTGAGAAGAGTGTCCTTTTACTGAATCCGTCAGCCTTAATCTACTTTCTTAGTGTCCTCTTTCAGTTGGCTTATGTACTTTAAACGTCTTTAATCTTTTCTGCTTTATTATCTTTTCTACTATATCTTATCTCGTCTGAATTTTTAGTTTGCTCTTTCATCTTGTTGATTTTGTAGCATGTTATCACCTTTTATCTAAATTGTAGGGTTTTGCTTTGTCTGTGGCTTTCAGTTTTATTTGTACTTTGTCTTTACTGGCAGAAGAAAAAGTGGGTAGCTGAGGGCAGGGACTGAACTAGCCCAGAACCAACATGGGCAGGCTTCTTTGTTCTCTTGAACATATCATCAAATATCCTTCAAGTTTTCCACTGTATGGTTGCTTTTTCTTTTTTCTTTCCAAAAATGAAATTTCAACTTAGGATGTATTAATTTTATAATATCATCTGTGAACTTCATTCTTTCTTACTTTACCCTCTCTCCGGTATAATATTTATTTCTGATGCAAGTCTGGGTTTGGAGTCAGAATGGTGCTATCTCCCATGATATAGCTCAAAGTTTAATTGCTTCCCAATTAAAATCTATAGTATATGGTTTTTTTTCCTGCTAGATAGTGAGTAGGACTTTGACACCAAGCATGGGTTATTAGGAGGAACCCAGGTGAAATAGCCTCTGACGCCATGTTTGATGGTCCTCTGATTTCTTGAGTGTTCTTTATTCCTCTCCAAGGGTCTCTGCCTCAAGACAAAATGCACTGCCAATCTCAGTGCACTGTGCTAAGGGGAGAACTCTTCCTCGGGTGTCTCTGCTTGAGTTTCTCCTCTCACTCAGGCTCAGGCTCATGATCTCCTCTTTAGTAATTATGGTAATACACGTGTGTGTGTGTGTGTATGTGTGTGTGTGTGTGTGTGTGTGTGTGTCCATGTCTCTGTGTGTGTCCTTCAGTGTTTGCTGTTACTTATGTGTACATGTCAAATGCAGTGCTTGTTGTTGCTTATGTGTACATGTTTAGGACTGGCCATGTGGGATTGGCTAACCTATCAGAGGCTTGTCCCTGGAGAAAAATGATTCTTCCTCTCTCAGCAGGAGTTAATTGACTGGAGCACTTATTCATCCAGCTTTTCTTGAAACATATTCCTCTTCTCAAGTGTCTGAAATGTTCCCCATCATCTGTGGAATCAAATCTCAACTTCTCAGCTCAGGAGCCAAAGACGCTGGGTTGTCCTCATCACTTTCCTACAAAGGCATCTCTTTCACTAGATGAGGCAGCCAAGTGGATTGGTCTTCTCTTCTGATGGCTCAGATATTCCCATGGCTGTTTCTGTGTCCATATTCTTTGTGGGTCCCTTTAAATGCAGTCCTTCTCCACTTGTAAGTGTCTACAATCCATCGTCTTGAAATTCATCTTGCTACCTTTGACTTCCTATATGGGAATAACTAGCATTTCATGATCTTCCCTTTAGAAACCCTATGTGTGGAACAAAGTTAGGCTTCGGTTTAGATGGGCCAGCCTTCAAACGCAAACTCTGCTACTTCATATTTGACCTGAGGTAAGATATTTAGCTTTTCCTTTCTCTGAAGTACTGGTAATAAGACTCAGGGCTTCTCATATGCAGACAAGCGCTCTATCACTTAGCTACACCTCTAGCCCTTACTTTTGAAACTCTGTTTTGAATCTCTAAGATGAAGGTAATGCAGCCTGTTTCAAGGTTAGTGTCAAGGATATACCAGGAAGTCTGTAGCTCTGACATTTCTTAGAAACCTCAGGGAAAAAAAATCCATGAGGCTATGGTTTAGAATTTAAAGAGAAACAAGAAAGGGAGGGACTTCAGTCATGACAGTAAAGGAAACACACACACACACACACACACACACACACACAAGTACGCACATGTGCACGCGCATGCACACACAAATAGAGAGACACAGATACAGGCAGGCAGACAGACATACAGACACACACACACAGACACAGATGTACACATACACATACTGACACATGGACACACACACACACACACACACACACACACACACACAGAGGTGGGAGAGGGACCGATATAAAGCTTCAACTCCCAACTCTCACTCTTGACACCCATGGATTTTCATGTGTTTCGGTCTGCATTTCAAGGCATTTTAATACAAGGAACTAGTCTGCTTTGTGTTGTGTCTGAGGAATGCTGACATTATCCATTATCTTAGTCAGACTGTCGGAGATGGGAGCGATAAAGGCATGAGGCATGCTCTTCAGCAGACTGAAGACCACAGTCCAGGCCAAACCAGGACTGAACTTCAAGACAAGACTTTCAGAACTAGTCAGTATAAACCAGAAATGGAGTTTAAATTTATTTATTTATTTATTTATTTGTGTGTGTGTGTGTGTGTGTGTGTGTGTGTGTGTGTGTGTGTGTGTGTGTCAGAAGACAACACCTTGGTCTTGGTTTTCTCCCAATACCTTGTGGGATCTGGGATTAGACCCGGGTTGTCAGGTCCATGCCTACACACTTCAACTCACTGAATCATCTCACAGCCTCACATTTTCATACAGGCTTAAGTATGAGGGTTAAGGGAAAGACAGTGTCTCGGAAAAAAGTAAGACAAGACATGGCTGAAAGCACAGACGTGGGCTTTTCTTTACAGTACTCTTATCTAGGATTTTGATGGTTTTGATGCTATTATCTTTGAAGTTTGGCTAAGGATCCCAGTGAGACTACCAGGCAGCTCAGAGGTATCTAACGGGATGGTAAATCTGTAGATTCCAGGGATTCAGAGGCAGGCTCCCCACTGCAAACAAAGTTAACAATTTTGTTTGAGACTCTCAGAAATGAACTGAAGGGATGAAGAATGCCCTAACTGAGGTCATATATGTTCATATAGTAACCCTGGTTCACTGTGACTTCAAAACAAAATAGATGGACTTAAAAGGAATATTATTTCTGTGCCAGCAGCTTTTACAGCAAATGTTGTTTCTTGTGCTGAAGTTCTTATTCCTCAACTGGTGATAGGCTTCATGCAGACCTCACGTGAGGGGCTTTTTGACCTTCTCATGTCCCCCAAAATTTCCTTGCCTTTCAATCCTGCCACAGGACCATCTTGAAAACAAATCAGTTTTCATCATTATCATTTTATAATTGCAATTTATTTGCATCTGCTGTACTTTCAAACTATAAATATATCAATAATATTAAGATAAGCTGGATAAGGTGGTATATCCTCCCAACACTTGGGAGGCTGAGGCAGGAGGACATCAAGTTTGAGGTCAGCTGAAGCTACACAGGGAATCCTTATCTCAAAACCAACAACAAAATTCCAGTAAAATGTTATGTTAAAGCAGCCTTGGAAGCATGCTAAGTAAGTAAGCGATTTTAACACGTGCAAGGATTTGAGAAAAGGATGCTTCCTGATGTGGATAAAGAGGACACCTTTTAACAGCAGCCTGTGAAATAGACACATTTACTATCATAAGGAAATAAGGATAATTTTTACCTGATTATGCCAGTTTTAGCACGGGAGCTGTGTCATCAAAGGGATCCAGCAGCAAGGCGCAAATTGAGGAACTGAGCCCTCCCAGCTAGCACAGCTGCCAGGAGCTGGGAAGGCACAGGGAAGATTGGAGTTGCATTTCAAGTAAAGACTATTTTTACCACAAAATCACACCTCTCTCTGATCTGTCCATGTTACTGCCACTTGAGTAAACAAATTGGAAGGGACAGCAGCAGACTTTGAAAACCATTTGTTCCTTGCTGGACACATTAAAGAAGTGCAGATTTCCTTAGTTTTCTCTTGTGGGATATGGAGAACCAGACAGACTCTCAACTTCCTTAGCAAAAAGAACAGAGGAACAGGGGGGCTGAGAGAGGAGAGACATGAGCACAGTGACATAATGTTACAGGCAGTGGCTTTGTGGGGAAGTCTGGCACATGAAATGTTGCTTCAATACAATATGCATGCTATATGTGTATATATATATATATATATATATATATGTATATACTATATTTATGCTATATTATATGTATATAGAGAGAATGCAGAGTAATTTAATGAAAGCTATTTATATATATGAATATGATAATATAATTTTCGTTTTATAGTAATCTTAAATACTTAAAACACTTTACAAAGCAGATATTATTTTGATTTCAGTTTTATAGAAACTGTAGCTCAGGGTGGTTTGGTGTCTTAATTAGGCCAGTTTTAAGACACAGACCAGGAAAGGGTCACTGTTCGGAGATCACTTTGATGGCACTTTACAGTACATGAAAACATCCAAATTTAAACTCTGTGAATTTTACTGCTAACATATTTTCAGGAACGCTTTTCTTACTTCAACATTTATGTTTAATTACCATGATGTGGGTTGGGTTATTGAACTGATTGTTTCTCAATTGCGTATGTTGACTGAAACTATACTATTTTTAATTTTTGTTTTTCATACGAGTCTAGTTCACGTAAAAGGTAAAGTCACCAGGCTGCCCTTTGCACTGGATGGCAGAAACACTCAAGGGGTCCAATCCTGTTTTTAGCTGGGCTTCTGAGGCAGAGTTTTCAATGGGCTCAAATGTGGTCAAACTAATGACAAGCAATGCAGCAGTTGGCCCTGTGGTATGCTGTGCTGAATTTTAAGGACTGAGATGGGAAGTCTTGGAGTGTTGCCTCTGGTTATGCACTGTGCTAGCTGAGCAGTGCCTCGCTGGTGCTAGATGAAAACATCCATAAATCTGTAGCCAGACAAGTGCTGAAAGGGCAGGCAGGGGCAGGCAGGGGCAGGCAGGGGCAGGCAAGGGAGGTGCATGAAGAGTCAGGAGAGCAGCCAAGACTCCTGGGAAGAAACAAGCTGGCCTGTGGGACCCGGGAAGACAGCGCAGCTGTGTGTGCCATGTCTCTGCATCTTTGTGTCCTCTGAGTGACAGAGTGGACAGGCGCCTCTAGACTCAAAGCCTGCTGTTTTATCTCTGTGTCCTTAGCTTTACGCAAATTGTTTTTGAGTGAGTCACACCCTTCATACACATACCAATGAAGGTAACATATGATATATACTTCAAAAATTGAATAATTCATTCTTTTTAGGATTGGTGTCATTAATTTTAATGTTTGTCTCTGATAGAGCAAACATCCTTCATCTTCATTATACTGAAAGGCAGTTCTTCCAACCGCTCTCAAAAACACGTATCCATTTATGTTTTCAATTTACTTTGTGCTATTTTTCAAAAAGTCAGGTCAAGACCTAATTTCTAAAGCAATCTTAACAGTGTTTTATTGTTCACTGGTGACTTATATGATTAAGGAATCCATCAGGATTTTCTTTGTAGTTGTTCTTTCTATAGTCTCGGTGCCAATATCTCATTCTCTGTGGTTTGCAGTTCAGCATCTTGAATAAAATTTCCTGACAAGGAATGGGTGTTATACTTTAGCAAATGGCAGCTCCATTCCAACAGCGATATAATTTCTTAAAATTTGTGCTTTCTTATTGTGAACTTCAATCATTTAAATACCAACGGCACTCCAACCTTTGCCATATACCATCTCCCCGAGATATAAGGTGCTGTAGTTTCTTTCAACCAAAGCAGTGGAACCCAAATGCTCAGTCCTTGAAAACATCCCAACAGTTTATCAAATCATAAATGGAGCTAAGAAGTTGATAGAGGAGTTATTAGGTTACCAAGCAGGTGCTTTGTTAGGACCATTACAGAAGTCACTAGATGGAAGAAAGGAAGATAGAACGTGGCAGGGCCATAGATTCCTCTGCTTTAGATGCCAAGAAAGAGCAACTCAGTTCAAGACACATGAAATGAAAATCTTTTTAAATCCCCAGTTTATTGGCTCCCACAGGCTTGGCTTCAGGTTTAGGAAAGAAGGTGCTTGAAAGGACAGGAAATGGGCAAAGGAAACAGAGTTCTCCTTAAAATAAATAGCATCATCTAGGGATGCCGGTGACACCAGGACTGGTAGAATAAGAAATGACTGTAGCACTTCTCTTGGTAGAGTTCACACCCTAAAGCAACACTGATTTAGAAAAGCCGAGAATGTTTGCCCAGAAAGCAGACAGCTGTGGTGGGTGGGTTGAGCAGAACATAAGACCTATCTAATACATCCAGAGTCTTTCCCAGCTGTCGTTTTAGATCATATAATGTAATAACCAAGATGCTTATGAAATATGAAAACTAAAATATTCCGAAGTTCCTGTGAATGAAAAATAGACTGTATAATTTTAAATCGACAGTTTAGTACCAGAACTGACATTCATGGGAATAGTTGTTGGTTTGAAATAAATAAATACTTATGATAGAAAGCCCAAGGAGAAAGGCTGAGTGTTAACCCTATCTATCAGCAATTAAAATTTTGTTATGCATTTTAAAATACATTTTAGATGACATAGATTAGGAAGGATGACCCCTAGTGTGTAAGATATTGTTGTGGGAACTCGATCTGGATCTGTTTAGCCAATGGCTTTGGGATAACGAGCCCCAGGGCGTGGTTTTGTCCTCTTTGCCCTTGGACAGAATGACAGGATAGAAGCAGCTGGATGGACAGTGGCATCTACCTTGTTCTGCACTTGTGAGTCTGTATTTCCACTGCACCCCTTCATAAATTACTAAATAGACTTTTGTGGGTTCACACTTAAAGATATCTTTCAAATAAAAAGTAAATTGGGAAAAATATTTAGCATTTAAGTACAAGTCCAGTTACTTACATAAGGATATTCATTAGAAAATCAGGTAGCTGATGTAACTATTTATTATAAGTCAGAAAAATATAATTAGTGGAAAAATACAACCAGTGAAATATGAAGCAGTGGAAATGTTTCTGGAATTAAATTTTTAAAAAGAGATTCGGGCACCAGTGAGATGGCTCAATGGGTAAAGGTATCTACTGCGCCTACTGTGAAGACTGGTTAACCTGAGGATCAAGCTCCAGGAACCTTATGGTAGTTGGGAGAAAATTAAGTCCATAGGCTGTATCCTGACCTCTATATGCACACTCTAGCATGAGTGTGCCTCCCTATCATGCACAAAATAAAATAATAAATAAATAAACATAAAAACTTTGTAAGTGATTTAGGGTATCTAAATGGCTAGAAAAAAAGATGGCCATATGATTCTGTAACTTTTATTCAGAGTGCATAACACTTCCTATTATTTTCTGAGAAGAAACATTTTTTTCCTTCTTGGACATTGGTTTGAGCTACGTTTCTTGACTGCATCTTTCCCAGCAGTGATAGAGGGAGGTGTAGGCAAATACCACTGACTACACAAACATGGTAAATGCAATGCAATGCTAATTTATACAAAAGAAAAAGGAACCTGCAGCTTCCTCTCTTCACTCCCAGCCTCAGTATTGCCTATGACCTGTGTGAGAAGTAAGCCTCTTCTGATAAAGAACTAAACATGTGTCTGAAGTGAGCTCCAGTGAGGGCAAATATTTGGGGCACCTGAGAACTTGTGCACTGTTCAATCAAGTGAGCCCAATGTCAAGGGAAGTGTGTGTACAGCGGTATGCCCACTGCTTCAGTGGCCATTGAAGTCCGGAAACTTCACTTCTATTTCCACATATTGTGCAGAGGGCAAGTGGACAACCAAGAAGACACGTAGCTTTACCAGCACAATTCCTCACTATCATTGTGGCATCCTCATACCCCTCTACTGTTACTCATACTTGACTAGCCATCTCCCTAGACAAGATACAGTCTTTGTTATGTGTTTGGAGATGTTAGAACTTCTATTAGCAGTCTAACACTTAATTGCTGAGTTCTTAGCTATTATTAAAATATCTTACAGGAAATAGAAAAGAAGGAAGAAGTGGTTACCATGTACACAAAGTTGATGCAAAAACAAGGAGTTATTAAACAGCAGTTGTTATTTATGCCACTGGTGACATGGTCACAGCTTTATTATAAAAGTCTTCCAGTGTTCCTTCCATGTTCCTTTTATTTTCAACAAGTACCTCAGCGCACAGTGGTTGCTTTTCTGGCTGGGTGACCTGAGATTTCATTCCATCCAGTAAAGTATAAGTCATTAACAGTCTACTCATGGATGGATTGTTGTAATTCCCTATTACCTTTTATCATAGAAAATGTGTTATTACCATGCTGTATGGTTCATTGCCAAAGGCAACTGTTGAATTTTCCCCTTCAAAGTCAACATCAATCAGTTGGCTGACAAGGTAACCCCTATCTTTGCTTATTGATTCATTGGTGAGAGGAACCCAAAGTGGCCTTAGAGTAGTATCAGATTTCAGTTTTAATGAAAATATGTGGTTTCTGTGGAAGCAATCCTCCCTCAAGAGCTGCAGTCTCTAGAGCACACAGACCTGGGGGGTTTAGGTGAAGTTGCTTTGCTTACTCAGCTCCAAGGATGAGAAGAGCCACTGCACTGTACCCCTCAATTTCTAAAGGAATATTGAAGTGAGTGTCGACATATCACTCTTTAATATGTACATTTTAACTTTATGGAGTTATTATGTATATATTGAAGTGAATTGACTTTACTGTACATTTTCATGAGATTTTCTAGACGTATACACCTCCTTACATTCAAATACATAA